AGTTTTATTTTAATTTGTTCCTCCTAAAAGTGCATGTCAAAATCTTCTTCCAGGAATATATTCTGAAGCACTTTGGGTCTCCAACAGACAAGAAGGAATACACCTTCTCAGAGCCTTGGCAGTGCACCCGTCTCTGAGCAGAGTTCTTTCCCAGCCCCAGGCTTCTTTCCCATCCAAAGCTCTATCCTAAAATAAACGAAGCACTCAGCCATTAGAGGCACTTCAGCCGAAACATTTCTGAAACAAGTACATTCTTCAGTACTCAGGGTAAATGAATTTTTCATGAGCTACGATCTATGTAGAAAAGTTTTCATGAAAATCTAGCATCTTTTAAAGGAGATCTCTTCAGACTGAATTGTGTTCACTCAAACTTCACATGTTTAAACTTTAATCCCCAGTGTGATTATAACCAGAAAAGGGACTTCGGGGGAATGATTATATTTAGACTAGGTGGAGAGGGTAGGGGTCCCAAGATGGGATTAGTCTCCTTGTGAAAAATGACATTGGAGACCTTACTTCCTTCTCCTTTCCCTAGCATGTGTGGATACACCTAACAACACACCATTCAGGATCACCCACTACCTCCATTTAAACACTTTGACTTCTTTTACGTATCAGTTCACCACTCGGGTCACATTAAAAAGTACGAATAGGTCACAGTCTGGACAAATATATAAAATGAATAACTGCCAGGCACTTGGACACATCTCCTTAACCACAGCTACGTGCATTGTTCAAATTATTCAGCCCTATTTCACACAGAAGTTCAAGGTCATATAAATATCAAAACCAAGGGTATGCCATGAGCTCTAATACAAGATCTGAAGCTTTTTCCCACAGACAAGGCTGACTGGGGTGTACAGGAAACTTCTGACACAGTGGGGGAGGGACGTGGTGAGCTGAGAAGGGGCCATAGAACGTTTTCTCTGGCTCGTCCTCCTGTGATTTAATGAGCACCTACTTTGTGCTGGATTCTTGCACATCTCATCCCACCAACAACGTACTAAAGCAGATCATACCACCCTTGATGTACAGATGAGGAAAGTGAGCTCAGGGAAGTCACGTCACTTCTCTGTGATCCTGCACCTTTCAAATGCCCCGGCATCCGCCTCTCGCACAGAATTCTGACTCCAACGCTCAGCCTTCCACCACCGTAGCATCTGTCTAAGTGTTCTTCCAGCAGTGCATGCCTTTTCATTTGGTCATTTATTCAGTCATTCTAGGTCACGCTTCACACAATTTAAGACACATAGATTCAGAAAAGAAATAGAGAAGTCATAAATTTTGTTGTTAGAAGGGAATAACGGTGACATCTGTGAAGCACTTAGATTCTCATGGATGTTTTTACTCTTTCCTGATACTGAAATACTGTGAACACGCGGCATTGAGTTCTACTCTTAATGAGCCCCCAGACCCTGGGCTGGAGACTCTACACAGCACAGCAGGTGAGCTTTCTGCTCCTCAGCTTATCTTTCACAGGATGAGGATATAAAAACCACCAGCTCCATGTCCTAAAAGAATCCATGTGCTTCTTCTTTAAAGCATGATGGTAAGTTGAAAAACATACCATGGCACCACACGTACAAAAAAAATGGAAATGTTGGATTGTCAATATATCAGAAAATATATCTGAAAAATAATGGTTTAAAAAAGGCTTATATCACAGAGACAGTCATGCATTTGTTTTCACCTCAGTGACTTCTGAGAGTCCTGTCTCGATAAAGATGCAAAGTATTGTCAAAATAGCCACAAATTTCTCAAGATCAGTGCCCAGTAGTGGGATTGCTGGATCGTATAATCATTCTGCTTTTAGTTTTTTAAGGAACTTCCATACTGTTCTCCAGGGCTTCCTGGTGGCTCAGCGGTAAAGAATCCACCTGCAATGCAGCAGGTACAGGAGATGCAGGTTCGATCCCGGGTCGGGATGACCCCCTGGAGGAGGAAACGGCAACCCGCTCCAGTATTCTTGCCTGGAAAATCCCACGAGCAGAGGAGCCTGGGAGGCTGCTGTCCACGGAGTCGCACAGAGTCGGACATGACTGAACTGGCTTAGCACAGCACATACTGTTCTCCATAGAGGCTGTAGCAATTTACATTCCCACCAACAGTGCAAGACGGTTCCCTCTCCTCCATGCCCTCTCCAGCATGTATTGTCTGTAGATCCTTTGATGACGGCCATTCTGACCAATACCTTTGCTGGAGTTTTGATTTGCTTTTCTCTAATAATTGATGATGTTGAGCATCTTTTCATGTGCCTCTTGACCATCTCTCTGTTTTCTTTGTGAAGTTAAGTCAAAGAGAAAAAATGCCGCATAGTGCTGCGTATATGTGCAATCTAGAAAAATGGTACAGAAGAAGCTATTCGCAAGGCAGGAATAGAGAGGAAGATGTACTGAACAGACACATGGACACATGGGGGCAAGGGGGGCTGGGATGAATCGGGAGATTGGGATTGACATCTATATACCGCCATGTATAAAAGAGATAGATAGCTGGTGGGAAGCTGCTGCATAACACGGGCAGCCCATGGAGCTCTGTGATGACCTAGAGGGTGGGTGAGGTGGAGGGGTAAGCGGTAAGTCCAAGAGGGAGGGGACTTACATATACTTGGGGTTGATTCACTTTGTTGTGCAACAGAAACTAATACAACATTGTAAAGCAATTATACTCCAATTAAAAAAAAANAGCGGTAAGTCCAATCGGGAGGGGACTTACATATACTTGGGGTTGATTCACTTTGTTGTGCAACAGAAACTAATACAACATTGTAAAGCAATTATACTCCAATTAAAAAAAAAACCCATGAAGACACATAACCCGGCTCACGGGGTCCCCCACCCTTGCAGCCGTATTTCTCGCCTGTTGATACCATAGCAAATTATCTCCAGTTCTGGGGCTTCAAACAGCAGAAATGTCAGCTTCACAGTTGTGATGCGAGAGGTCTGATCAAGGTGCTCTCAGGGCTGGCTCCTTTGTGAAGCTCTAGGGGACTATCCACGCTGAGCCTCTCTCCTGCCTGTGGTGACTGCCAGAGTCCTTGGTGCTTCTTTCCTGTAGATGCATCACTCCATTCTGCCCCTGTCTGCACGTTGCTTCCCTCCCACATGGGGCTGTGGCTCAAATCCCTCTCTTCTTTCTCTTTTAAGGACACTATTCATTGGATTTAGGGCTTGATCATTTAAATTCATCTAAATTGATCATCTAAGTTGATCATTTAAATCATCTAAATTTATGCTTTCAAGTTGTGGTGCTGGAGAAGACTCTTAAGAGTCCCTTGGACTGCAAGGAGATCCAACCACTGTGGTGCTGGAGAAGACTCTTAAGAGTCCCTTGGACTGCAAGGAGATCCAACCAGTCCATCCTAATGGAAATCAATCCTGAATATTCATTGGAAGGACTGATGCTGAAGCTCTAATACTTTAGCCTCCTGATGTGAAGAATTGACTCACTGGAAAAGACCCTGTTGCTGGGAAAGGTTGAAGGCAAAAGGAGAAGGGGCTGATAGAGGATGAGCTGCTTAAAGAGCATCACCAACTCGATGGACATGAGTTTGAGCAAACGTTGGGAAGTAATGGAGAACAGAGGAGCCTGGCAGGCTGCAGTCCATGGTTTCACAGAGTGAGACAGTTCTTAGCGACTGCACAACAACATATAAATTCAGGATGATTTCATCTGGAGATCCTCGGTTTATTAATTACACTGCAGAGACCCTACTTCCAAACAAGACCACTGTCACAGCTACCAGGATTAAGCAGTTCAGGAGAACACAGTTCAATCCACTGCAGGCATAGTGCCTGTGCATTGCTTCCCAGGTAGCACTGGTGGTAAAGAACCTCCCTGAAAATGCAGGAGACCTAAAAGATGTGACTTCGATCCCTGGGTCAGGAAGATCCCCTGGAGGAGGTCATGATAATCCACTCTAGTATTCTTGCCTGGAGAATCCCATGGACAGAGGAGCCTGGCGAGCTACAGTCCCTCAGTTTGCAAAGAGTTGGACATAACCGGGTGACTGAGCACGCAAGCATGTACTTGCTAATTAGGATCATTTACCTGAGAAAACTCAGAATAGTTGCAACCTTAATGTGCCCAGGATATTCATATCTAAGAGGCACAAATGAAGAAAATAAACTATGTTATGAAAGAAAATAAACTCTCCAAATTAGAGAATACCTCCCCAAACTAAGCTATTTCTCCTCTATTCTAAAGTGGAAAATATTTCCACTTGTAACCTGTTATTTTGAAAGACATCATTGAGAACAGTTTTTTTTTTTTTTACTTGATGATAGACTTTTGTTCCATTTTAGCCTGAATCTACTTTCCTTTCACAAAAACTACACACACACACACACACACACACACACACACACACACACACCTAGACTTAGGGGATTCTTTCATCTTTATTGGAGATGGATAAGGTGACTACACAGAAGAAATACTTTTCCTCTCCTTCGTGAACCTGAACATACGATATTACACCACACAAAAGTAGAAACTGCAGGTGCGGGAAACAGAAAGGATATTTCTGAAGTCAACACGATCCACAGGCTAAAGACTGAGTGGTATTTGTCACAACACTGCACAAGTTAAGTCCCTTAATGGTGACTTCATAAATAAGAGGTTATTCACATATTTATATGGTGCTTATGCAAATGAGCCCAAGTAGTTCTTAATTTTCTTCAAGTAAGTTTATGCTGGTTACAGGTTTTCTTACAGGTACTTCATCACATGCTAGAAATGACCTCTCCAACATGAAATTTTAAAAAGTAAAGTGAAACTAAATTGTGCAAGCGCTTGGACTGATGTTGATATGATAGTGTAAGCTCTGTGTGATAAAATGCATTATGAAAAACAAAGGGAAAGACTCAAAGTCATGGAGCAAGTCAGGAAGTGGTGCATTGGTAACTAAAACCAGGAGACGATGTGCAGGATTGATATTTCAACTGTTATTTCAAAAAGTGACCTTATTCTACATTTCTTGATTTAGATTTAGTGCTGACCTGTTCCAATGAAGGACTTCCTGGCAGAATTACGTTTTTCTGAGTGTTTCTTTCAGTCTCCTCACTGTCGGCAGAGATGGCTTCACTATCCTTTTTGTAGTGTTCAAGATTCTTTCTGGAACTCATCGGGTCTTCAGAACTCAAAGTCCCCTCCACGACGCTCTCATCTGTTGACCACAAGGAGATCTCGTGAACTCCACTTGAGCTTTGTCACTTTATCTTAACAAGTGTTACTATAACGGCTTCCCCTGTGGTTCAGCAGTAAAGTAATCTACCTGCAATGCAGGAGATGCAGGAGACATTGGTTTGATCCCTGAGTCAGGAAGATCCCCTGGAGGAGAGCAAGGCAACCCACTCCAGTATTCTTGCCTGGAGAATCCCCATGGACAGAGGAGCCTGGTGGGCTATAGTCAATGGGATTGCAAAGAGTCGAACATGACTAAGTGACTAACACACATATGGGGGCTAAAAGAGCATATTTATGATAACGTTCAGATCAGCTAATTTATAAATATGTAAGTGTAATTACAAAACAATTATTAATCCTCATGGCTATATAGTTATTTTATAGGTCATAGACTCAAAATTCTGTTGAATTTGCTGCCTTTGTCTAAAAAAAACTTGAAATCAATGATAATTGGAACAATGATTTTAAAATATACATTGCAGGGCATTTATAATATAACTTCTCCAATAAAAAGGATCTCATATTCAATAGATTATGACATCTATTGCACAAGAATCAGAATAGGCCACTATGGTTTGTCAAATCATGTAGTAGAATTTATAAGCGTTAGAGTGAGCAACTGTTTTACATTAGCTACTCCCAAGATACATTTTTGTACTACATGCATATAAGAAACAGCAAACTTAGGTGGTCTTAGATTCTTCTATATATGCTCTTGCGGTATAATAGAGAATTCAAGAACTATTTTATTCTTTTACAAGTGTAAAGCACCAAGGTCATGTCATTACCAAAAATAATAATAGTATAAAAACATGGTTCTTAGAAGAGGGTTAAAGGGTCATTAAGTGGATGTCCTACCACTGGATAGAACTGAACTTAAACATTATGCCAAGTTGGATGACCACCTTAGTCACTGAATTAGAACATACATACATACCTCAAACATGTTCCCCTTCCCCTTAGAAGGCAGATACAATGTCTGGAGCCCCATGGTGAAATATGATCTTTTGGGTTGCAAATGACTCTGAATAATATTTGTCACTGTCATTATCTCAAAAACCTCAAGGAACAACTTCACTAATTGATCATAGAGAATTCTATTATCAACTTGTAGCAAGGTCGTGTCTGCTCAGTCATGTCCAACTCTCTGGGGCCCCGTGGACTAGTAGCCCACCAGGCTCCTCTGTTTATGGGATTTTCCAGGCAAGAATGCTGGAGTGGGTTGCCATTTCCCTCCTCCTGGAATCTTCCAGACTCAAGGATCAAACCCGCATCTCCTGTGTCTCCTGCATTGGCAGGCAGATTCTTTACAACTGTGCCACCTGAGAAGACCCTTATGAACTCACATGGATGCTAAAAGAACAAATTTATGGTAAATTTCTCTTCAGCTAATTCATAGATATGTGAATGTAATTACAAAGAAATTACTAATCGTCATGGCTAGAATGCTTTGTAAACTACCAAATACGCAGGGCAGTGGGCACATAATGAGCAATTCTAAATTGTTATTTTGCAACCACAGCTAGAATCAAGATACGAGAAGAAGAAATCATCTTACCCCTACACCTTCGTGGTTCAAAACTTAAATGGTGGTCCTATGGCTTCAGTGAAAGATATCCACTAGTCCCGGGTACGGAAATCTCACATGCTAGATGAAGTTTATTGAAGAATGCTCCTTTTAAACGTGAAGGGCTGAGCCGGCATTTGTAAAGTGATGACACTCCTCATATACATGACACGGGCCCTGGAAAGGCAGCAAACTGTGTACAGCAGTGTTGCATGAAAGCCAGCTCTCACTTCCTCTAGGTAACCAGCTTGCTGTCCTTGATCAGAAATTACCTTCACTGCCCATCACATCGTTAGTGGTTAAAACTTCCCATTTAAATTGTAAGCTGCAAAAATCTAAATGGAACTGCATGTGTGATCTTTGTCACCTCATTTTCATGAATGGGGAAGAATATTCTGACACAAAAATTACATACTTAATTCTAGCTCACCCTCTTGGCTGACCTCCATCCCACACTGCCTTGGGTTTATTTCCTCATCCATCAGTGGGTCAAAGTAATTTCGGCTGTATTCATTTCCTGTGGAAAGTACATGAAGTAAGGGTCAGTGATTATTAGAAGCACATGAACCAAAATGTTAATTTTGAAATCGACACCAGCACAGAAGGGCCATTTTAGCTACTTGATAAGCTTAATTTTTTTTTACAAGTCTTCCAGGCTTTCCTTTTTTTGTAATTATCATCTGGCAAAAGGTCAGAAAAGGTAATTCAAGAAACAAGTTCATGCTATCTGTCTGTTGCAAAAAAATTAATGAGAAATTTTCAAATGCAGACTTTACAAGAATAATTTGAAGACGTAATCAAAATTATTTTAGGAAAAAATTCAAGAAATCAAACCGCTGGATTATAATGGTGCTTAGAGTTCGCCGATGCCTCTGTTTACCCACTTGTATATAATTCACAATGCATATCATGTTGTTGGATCCGGAATTTCATAGGCAACTTAATACTGTCTTAATTCTGAGAAACTATAGCAAAATTTTCACTTCACTAGTTGAGTAAAAAGAAAGGAGAAAGAGAGAGGGAAGATGGAGGGATGAAGGAAGGAAGGAAAGAGGGAAGAAAGGAAGGGAGGAAGGAAAAGAGGGAGAGAGGGAGGACCAAAGCAAAGAAACAGGAGAAACTTAAGTAAAGGGAAGGAAGGTGCAAATGCTGTAGCCGGAAACTGAACTCAAGACACATCCACAATCTCAACAACACACACCAAAAATTCTCACTTCACATTTCCCACTTACTTTTGTCCTTAGGTAGATAACCAAACAGCAGCAAGGAACATGACTTTGTAATACAGTAAAAGATCTGCTATCAATTTTCCATCATACTTTCTGCAGACTGAACTGTGTATCATCCTGTTGCTAGTAATTTACATTCAGCAAAAGGTAACCTACTTTGATGATAACTTGTCTCAAACACTGCAAAATAAAGCTTTGTCAACTGAAATTAAAAAATTTTGAAAGTATTGCTCACAGGAAAGGGTTAATGCAGACCAAGTATACTGTGAAACTCCACAATATATTTATTTTAGGATCAAAAATAATCCCAACAGCAGGTCCTTTTCCAAGACTAAATGGAATTTTGATATGAACCTAAGCTTAATTTATATTTCTAGACTGGCACATTTTTGCTGTCAGTCTCTGTTCTATCAGCGTAGTAACTACAAGAACTGAAAATCTGCTTTACCTTGAGGTCTCAATAAAGAAAAAAAAAATAAATGGGTTTCATTTTTGTTACTTTATCTGTCAACAACCACTAGGCTGATATGAATCTTGGCAGTGTGTAATCAAAGTCTTATGTACTGCAATAACACAGCTATTCTACCCAATTCACCGTAATTGTTGTATTCTCCCCCTTTACACAAAGCACTGTGATACTCTAAGCATACTCTTTCATATACTGGCAAACTAATTCACCTCTATTAAAGTGAAAATGGTGCTGTATTCCTTATGCTATTTGCCATGGCAGCAACAGTCAACTCTTGGCACCCACACCCTGGAAACCCCCCACCCCCAGTTCAGTATGAAACTCCAGTTCTCCTCTACTGAAATGATTTATTAATAAATAGTGGCAAGTGGATCAAGTCCCTGGAGAATAAACAAAGCTAAATCATTTTTAAGTCAAAAGTCTGGAGAAACTGATTCTCCAGCTTGTCAAACGGGCTTCTCAGGTGACCCCAGTGGTAGTGAGCCCATCTGCCGATGCAGGAGACATAAGAGATGCTGGTTCGATCCCTGGGTTGGGAAGATCCCCTGGAGGAGGGCATGGCAACCCACTCCAGTGTTCTTGCCTGGAGAATCCCATGGACAGAGGAGCCTGGCAGGCTATGGTCCATAGAGTCGGACACAACTCAAGTGACCTAGCATGCATACACACAGGTTCTCAAACCATTTACACCCCTGTTGTCTGTTGAGAAATGAGGATCTTGCCCAGCTGAGTATGAAGAAGTCTGCATTCAATCCAATGTGGTTTAATATTGTGTAAAGGACAGGGTTCTGTCGGAGTGTGCAGGAGCGTCCAACCCATACTGGAGAGTTCAAAGATTTCCTGGAGAAATTACTACTTGAAGTAGTGGATAACCAACAGGGACCTACATATAGCCCCTGGAACTCTGCTCAGCCGGTATGGAAGGGGAGTTTAAGGGGGAATGGACATGTGTATACGTATGGCTGAGTCCCTTCGCCATCCACCTGAAACCAGCATACTGTCTTTCACTGGCTGTACTCCAACATGAAATGAAAAGTAAACAAAAATTACAAAATAAAAAATATAGCATCATCTCCACCACCACCCAGGCAAAGGATGACTGCCCACCTCTTTGCCATATCCCAGTCTAAATAAAATCAGCCTCTGTTTTTTTTTTAAAAAAGTGATTAGGAATTAGGCATATCAAAAATACAGGGGAAAAGAATTTGTTTTGGAAGGAGAAGCTTAACAGGAAAAAACACACAAAAGCATAAAGACATGGGAAGCACGTGTTGTTACTGGATGCCCCCCGGTTATTCTCTGCCTCCCAAAGTTCCGATACAGAAAAGGAAGTGATGGAATCCAAACTTGCTCAGTCATCCCAGTATTGAGTTCTTAACTGATGCTTTTGTTCAAATTATTGTTAAGTTGTACAGTGTCTGTCACTTCACGCTGATAGAATGTTTCATATCCATTCAATTATTTAAAGTACATCTGAGTGTGTGTGCGCTTAGTCGCTCGGTCATGTCCGGCTCTTAGTGATCCCCAGGCTCCTTTGTCCATGGGATTCTCCAGGCAAGAATCCTGGAGTGGGTTATTGAGTGTTTTCTATGTGACTATATCAGTAAAACAAACATTCCAAAACCTCTCCCCTCACAGAGCTTACAGTCTGTGAGTGGAAGAATAAAAGCAAACGGATATGTATATTTTATAGTTTATTAGGTGATAATAGCCTATTAAAGAGTAGAGACATTACTTTGCCAACAAAGGTCTGTCTGGTCAAGGCTATGGTTTTTCCTGTGGTCATGTATGGATGTGAGAGCTGGACTGTGAAGAAAGCTGAGCGCCGAAAAATTGATGCTTTTGAACTGTGGTGTTGGAGAAGACTCTTGAGAGTCCCTTGGACTGCAAGGAGATCCAACCAGTCCATCCTGAAGGAGATCAGTCCTGGGTGTTCATTGGAAGGACTGATGATGAAGCTGAAATTCCAATACTTTGGCCACCTCATGGGAAGAGTTGACTCATTGGAAAAGACCCTTGTGCTGGGAGAGATTGGGGGCAGGAGGAGAAGGGGACGACAGAGGATGAGATGGCTGGATGGCATCACTGACTCGATGGGCATGAGTTTGAGTAAACTCCAGGAGCTGGTGATGGACAGGGAGGCCTGGCGTGCTGTGATTCATGGGGTCACAAAGTCGGACACAACTGAGCGACTGAACAGAACTGAACTGAATACATATCATGGAGGGGAAATAGAACCAGATAACGATGATTTGGTACCCCAGGAAGGATTGGGGGCTGCCTCTCTTGCATATATCTTTGCTTCCAATGCAAATGGACATCCAGGAGTAAATCACTATGTTCTCAAGTGTGAGATAATGAAGTGATAATGTAACATTTATAATGTATTATAAATGTATAGTTCCATACTATTGGGGCATTTTTTTTTTTTTTTGCTATAACGTAAATCAGCTTGTGAATCAAATAAGCACCTACTATTACTAAATATTGGAGGCTTCCCTCGTGGCTCAGCAGGAAAGAATGTGTCTGCCAATACAACAGACGTGGGAGAAGCGGGTTTTATCCCTGGGTCAGGAAGATCCCCTGGAGAAGGAAAGGGCAACCCACTCCAGTATTCTTGCCTGGCACAGAGGAGCCTGAGGGCTACACTCCGTGGGGTCACAAAGAACCAGACACAACTTAGAGACTAAGCAACAACAATTATGAAATATTAAAATTACTCTTCCTTTCCGTTGTTATAGATTGCCCTGATAAGCCAGTAACCGAAATAGAGTAGACAGAGTTTAAGACGGTACAGCAGAGGGAACCACTAGAAATTTGGAAACAACAGGCTTATCACTAGTTCCTTTGTTGTGCTTCACTGGATAGTGTCAAGACTTAATAAAGTGAGATGGTTTTAGATATTACCAGAAGGTAGGTTGCTAAATAGGATAAATTCCTGAAAGTGCCCTAATGATTCAGAATACGCTTTTGGATATGTCTAAAATCATCTCACAGGAAAATTAACAGACCCACTGAGAAATTCAAAGTAGGGCAATATACATATAACAATAGGCTGCAACATGGCTGATATTTAACTGTTTGTGACATTCATACGAATAACTTGACAATTGCATATATACACGTATCTAAGGTTCTACATTGAAGCAATCGGGTGTGATACATAAAACTAGTAAGCTAGTAAATTAGCTTTGTTTACACTCTTGAAACTCCTTCTTTGTTTCCAGCTTCCTAAATTAGCTGTTCGATGTTTATAATCAGCCTCAGTTAGGGCTATTTTTGCTGAATTGAGGGAGAAAGAGGCATGTACATGCTTTGCCCTTCCACACATAGCAGGTTTTCCTATCCTTTAACTCAGAGCAGCACAGAATGTAATCAGGGCTTCTGCTTCAATTACACCGAATGTGAACTTTGGTCAGGGAATTCTCCAGTGCACACCCCTGCAGCTCCTCGGGGGCTCATAAGAGTGAAAATGGAATTGCCCACCAGAGGGAGATTTCTGTGAATCAAGGAAGCACCTTGACTCAACGAGGCAACCACTTCCTTTCGAATCAGCCCCATTAGCTCCAGAGGGAGAAGATGTGACTGCATCTATCCATTTCTCGAGAAGTTTATTGACCTCATGCTTGTCCTTTTCCTGTGAATCCACCTGCCTCAGCTCAGCTTTTCATCACCAACATTCATGTTTTCTACAATATACTGTAAGTTAAATAAACACAAGGCCTGCGTGCAAACTAAATAACTAAACACATTACATTCTGTGATTACAGCCTTACACCAAAATTTCCATACTATGATATTCTCTGCAGCACTACACCT